AGCTACTTGTAGTGCTAGCGCACTACAGGAAGCTCTTGAAGCTGGACATAAGTGAGTGCATCTTTACTCCCTGCAGCACAACACCAACACGGAAACAAGTATATAATCTAATTTCACAAGATATGACATCTCTGTGCCGTAGTTTTTTTGCCTTGTGTGATATTGTATGCATTAGTTTAATGCTGAGAAGAGAAGATAATGTGACGAAGAGTTCTCCATAATCATAGCCACCATACTCTCATACACCGCGTGCCCGACACAGACCCGCTTCATCATCATCGCTGATCCGATTGATTTAAATGCTAATTCTGCATGGTATTGTTATGTTGACGGCTGCCCTTCTTTCAGTGAGCTGAAGTCGTACCCTGATAGTGATGAGAAGTGGCAGTCGTTCTGGAGAAATGCCGACGGCGCCAACCTCGCACACCTTCCTTGGACTAACAGCACCAAAGTTGGCTGTGCCGTAGGAACATGCACTGAAGGAGGAGACCAGACTCGAACTCCAGAAACAAGTATCACATTTCTTTTTTGTGAGATGAAGCCTGCAGCGGAGGAGAACAAGGCTCCCTTCGAGTAAGTGTTGAGTGAGGGGGCTAAATAAGGGAGAGGGTTGGATACAGAACAACTTGTGCTTCTGCAATTAGACTGTATGCTTCCTCATGTCTTGGTTTTGCGTTGCAGCAAGGAGTATTACGAAGCGCTTATTGAACGAAAAACACCATTGACAGAAATGACTGACGAGGACCTCAAAGCTCCTGTCCAGGGCGCTGCAGCTGCTGCCGTACCCTCCCTTCTTGTAGCAGGCTTAACTGCTATAGTGGCATTTGCCTCTGCATAGAGAAGCTAGACAGTGAGCTAGCCTCAGATTGTTAAGTTCATTGTCGAGTTTCGCTTAATAAATGAACATAGGGAGTTTGCCGTTTTCTTTCTGCACGTTACTTAAAAGAGCAGCTGATTCCCCCTGCTGTTATGCACCTTCGCTTCGCCGCGCCCACCACCCCATGGCAGCGGCATCGCATTCAACGGATTCTCATAATCCCTGTTGAAAACAGCGTTTATTAATTTAAAAGCAATGTACAGTTATTAATTACCATTGTTTGAGGGAGTTTTGAGAGAATACGTCGCTACAGAAGGCAATAGCATAGGGGTTCTTTACTTGATTATAAGGAGATTGCGACGAGGCACCGTAGGGTACGAAGAGGCTCT